CGTTACTAAAAGTTCATATCATAAAAAATAGTTACGTGTCTTTTAAACACAAAACAACGTGAAGATAGCATCGATACAAGTCCAAAGAGATGAACAGATAGATCGGTCTTGAATGACCTCTCACTAGGATGCAAAACTTGAACTTGTCATGCAAAAGAAACTAAAACAGATAAAAAAAAGTAAATTAACATGAGTTTTTAAAACCTAATGATTAGCCCCTTCCGTAGAATTAATTAGTTGATGCTCATTTTTGCTTCTAACAAATACTTCCAAAAACACCTATCCAACAGATCACTAAAGATATCGCAATGACTAGCCTCTTTTCATTCTAACAAGAAAAACCTGGCGGGCCCGTTATGATAAGGAAAATAACATGAAAAAGTAGATGAAATTTGGCAAGTCCCAAGTACAGGCACATACTCTTAGTTTCTGACAACATTTGCTAGCCCAGGGAGTAGCAATTGCATTCCCGGGTAATTAAATTCCCCACCGGGCTCAGATAAGCACTTTTAAATATCTGTGTGGATTTCATACAAGGTGCCTGTACTGAGTCTCTAGACAGCCAAGTCCAAGGAGCAGCTACTCACCCTCCCCACCTAAGAGACTTATGACTAGTCAATCACTTCCCCTAAGCTCTGTTAGTAGTGTTATGATTATGAATAACCGCATTGATTTGGCTGGCCTAGCCCACAGCAAAATTCTCTGACTTTGCACTGCTTTCTGACATGAAACTCTAATCGAAGTGACAAAATCTCCCCTTCCTACCCCGTTGGTTTTCACACAAAACAAGTCAGCCACCCACCTACGGACAGGGCTCTCTGCTGACACCTAGCAAGACAGCAAGCCCCCTGGTTTTTTCCAGCTACACTGGCTTGAAGATGCCCGTGTTCAAGCGAAAATTTAGCGGGTACCTTTTAGGAAAATCACACAGGTGAATATTCATTATTTATTTGTTGTGCCTTTGCTGGACACAGTTACCAGGAATCTAAACCGGTAATGAGAAACGCAAAAGTGAGTTAAGCGATAGTTATCGCGTGACAAAACATCGCAGTAAACCATCACATTCACGGACTAAAAAAAATCGCTTATAATTATTCCGATCCAGGAGGCACTTTAGAGAAAACTAAACAACCTAAAGCCCTTATTTAGCCGCAATGAAGTGCATTGCATTTCAGAAGAGGTCAAAGGAAATGCTCCTGTATAAAAGGGCAAATCATGCCGACCAGAAACAATAACCGCAGAAAATCCATATGCCTGTCATGACCTCTCAGTATGAAATAAGCTGCAATTAAAAATCGCATTTGCTCTGTCAAAACGAGAGGTGTAATCTACCCGCCAGAGAAAAAATTCATTGGAACAAGCAGCATGTCGACATGGGGTAAAAGTGGTGTGTTGCCTACCGCCTCGTTTTTACACTTGAATGATTTTTTTTCATTTAGTTTTTATTCATGTATATATTTGAGAAGTAAAATTTCGCTTTTAATCTGACTTTTTGTAATAATAATAAAAATCGACACGATGATCCGCTAACTTGAATCCAAGCCATTCCTATTTTTCTTTCGGGATCATTTGCGGTCGACTTTTAGGATCACTTGCGGTCCATTTTGGGGATCATTTACAGTCTCGGGATCATTTGCGGTACTGTACAGGTCTTTCAGTGCACTGAGAAGACTCAAAACCTACCTGAGGTCCACGATGAAAGAAGATCGCCGGAGTGGACTTGCTCTTAATATGCATATCCACAGTCAAGCAGATGTGTGATTCAGTGCGGAAGACATCGTTGACGATTTTGCAACATCCGGAAACAAGAGGATGGAACTTCTTTTTAAGCTATGCGGATTGACTGTAAGAAGTATCGTTGGAGAAAGGCGGTTTTTTATTGTGGTACTGAGATCAATATCTTGAAGTTTAGATACACAGTCCAGATTTAACTAACTACGCATACAATTAACAGTCTCGAGGGCCTGATCCGTCTAGTGTATTACCAGGTCACCTTAGGGACGGGCCTACAACAAGTCAAAAAGCTGGCCACGCCCCTGGTGAGAGACATTTAACGAGTTTAGAGCTGCTAGTTTGTGATTTCTGTGCAATTATTATATATATATAATTAATCCTTCAAAACCGGAGGTAGGCCGTGTAAGCAAACAAATCCTGGAAGAAATAACTCGGAAACTCGTCGACATCACAAAAGTCAACCAGTGGAAGAACACATCCTCTGTGCTTCAATGGTTCAAGCAGCTGGCTAATAAAGGCGACTCGGCATTTATATGCTTTGACGTCGTAGAATTTTACCCCTCAATTACAGAAGCCCTCCTAAAACGCGCCCTTGACTTCGCCTCTGAACACGTGAACATCTCAGCCAACGAACGACAAGCAGTCATCAATTCCAAGCACTCCCTGCTATTCAACAAAGGCCAACCAGGGGAAAAGAGAAATTCAACATCAAATTTTGAAGTAACCATGGGAAGCTACGACGGAGCGGAGACTTGTGAACTGGTGGGCTGTTATCTCCTGTCGCAACGAAAGCAGATCCCTGGCATCGAAATCCGTACTCAATCAAACACCAAGGCAGATAGAGAAAGCAAAAAAACAAATATGCCAAATATTTGCGAACAACAACCTGAAAATCACAGTTGATGCAAACAAGAAAGTTGTTAACTTCCTAGATGTAACACTGGATTTAAACACCGGAAAATTAAACCATACTCGAAACCATCCACCACCCCGCTTTACGTTCACAGCCAATCGGATCACCCAACCAACATCCTCAGAAACGTGCCCGTAGCAATTAACCGGCGGCTATCCAGCGTTTCTTTCGACCACGAGGTTTTTAATGAAGCATCGGCTCCGTA